TCATTGCCTCCAGGCTCTTTTACCTAAAGTGAAAGAACAAAATTTTTTTATTCTTTTTTTTTTTTTTTTGGCTAGGCAGTGGGGTTAAGTGACTTGTCCAAGGTCACACAGCTAGTAAGTGTTATGTGTCTGAGGCTGGATTTGAACTCAGGTCCTCCTGACTCCAGGGCAGGTGCTCTATCCACTGCGAAACCTAGCTGCTCCAAGAACAAAATTTTGAGGCCAAGAACTGGGGCCCATAATCAGGGGCCACATATAAATGGGGCCTCACATTGGGAGGGCCTGGGGGCCCTCACATTGTCTCTTTTTTCTCATGGAAAGTCATCAGGAAGGAAGGAGTCAAACCAAAAAGAAGAAAGAGGTTTAGTTTGACTAGTGACTTCAGAAGGTACTCCCAGTTGTAGCTGTATAGATTGAATCTCATTTCTATGCGATAACCCTTCAGATATTTGAATACAGCTAATGCCACATAGCTTCCCTTTAACTCATCCTCATATGGCCTGGCCTCAAGACCCTCCCTTATCTGGGTCGCTCTCCTCTAGACAGTATCTGAATAAAATTTGTTGCTGATAACTGAACCCATTACTCCAGATGAGTTCTAATGGGGGCAGAGGAAAGTGGGACCATCAAGGGAAGGACCTCCCCTCCTGGAAGTTACACCTCTCTTAAAGCAACCCAAGACTCCATTAGAGTGTCTGGTTGGCACAGCCATCACACTGCTGACTTGTGTTGAGTTTGCTATTCACTAAATGCCCCAGATCTTCTTCAGACGATTTGCCATGCGGCCACGCCTCCCCCATCTTGTACTTGTGCAGTTGACTTTGTGAACCCAAGGGCAAGACTTTACATTGTCCTATTGAATTTCCTCTTGTTAGATTCTTCTCTAGAGTGTTAAGGCCTTTTGGGCGCCTGACTCTTCTCCATTGTATGGGAAATCAATCCCTTGCGGTTTTGTGGCATGAGCATGCCAGCCCTTCCTTTATCCAAGTCATAGTTCTGAGTGTCTTGGCCCCTCCAAGTCTTCTCACTGCAGGCTAAGCATCTGGCTAGACCGTCAGATGACACAGACTCATGTCCTCCGCCATCTTTGGCGCTTTCCCTTTGTGCTCTAGGGCTTCTCAGCATCCTGCCTACACATGGGGCCCAGAGCTGAACCCAAAACTCCAAGCCTGCTCAGACCAGGACAGAACCCAAGAGGACTGCATTCCTTAGGTCCAGGTGCTGGGTCTCTTTGGAGAGTACCTGGCCTCAGTATCCTACTGTGGAGTCCTAATGAGCTTGCAGTCCACTCAACCCCCCAAAACATTTTCAGAGGAACTGCTTTGAAGAGTAAGTCTTTAATAAATACCCAGTGGATGTTTCCTTCCACTTGCTCTGTGACCCCTTCCTAGCCTCAGTTTCCTCTTCTGTAAAATGGGGGCAGCTGCTCAGCTGACTTGTGTCTGGGGTTCTGTCTAGCCGTGCCTCCCCCGATCCAATTTGGGAGACAGCAGGGTAGTTAGACAGTAACAGAGCTGCCCTGATCCGTGCGGGGTCAGTTGCCAAGTGATTTCAGAGAGGGGACAGATCACAGAGGAATGGGTGACCCTTTGGGAGCACGGAGGTTCTCATGCTCCCTCTCCCAGGGAGAGACTGTGCTTCTCTGGAGAAACAAGGAGAAGTCCTCTTTAGACAGAGCACCCCTTTACTGTCCGTCACCCCGCGAGGGAGCAGGCCTCCTTTTAATTTCTGTTGGGACGCAGAGCTGGCTGGGGTGGGGGTGGGGTGCAGGGAGGCGTCCCTCCCCCCAAATGCCACATTAATGGGTGCTTTGCAGTTTGAGAACGGTCAGGGCTTGGCTCCCTGGGCCGGAGCCGATATTTCTCTTGGCTGGGGACCAGGGTCTGCCCTGACCAAGCCAGTGCTGTCCTGGTCACAAGGAGCTGATTAGGCAGAAGCTGAGGGACAGGTGCTGAGAGGTGCTGAATGCACGCTATTTCCATGAGGGTGGTCATGCTCCGTCCAGTGAGATCACACTCCTGGGGGGCGGGGCGGGCGGGGTGGTGTTCATCCTTAACCCAGATGGGCCTTCAGAAGGGAGGGGTGGGATCATTGCATGTGTTTACGTAGCCTCCCCTCCTGATATTTTATTGCTGAAGTCAGGGTGGGGGGGTGGGGGTGGGGAAGGGAGTAATATAAAGCCCCGGTGTTATGTGTGCCCTGGGGCAGCTGCAGCTGGGGACAGGCTTTATGAGATTAGTGGAAGAGGTCTGAACAGCAACAAACTCAACCTAACTGATGGGCATTGAGGGTCTACTGTGTTGGAGGCACTGAGACGCGCAAAGCTAAGTACGACCATGCCAGCTCCCAAGAGGCTTGCAGTCCTGCGGTAGAGAGGACACAGGGACCTTGGAAGCCACTGACTGCAACCCCCTCATTTTACAGGTGGGGAAACTGAGGCCCAGGTGGTATATGACCTGGGCACAGTCCCATAGCCTCCATGGCACCCCTGTTTGAATCACAAAAGGCTTGATCCAGAGTCAGAAAAGGCATTAAGGGTCCCCTGGCCCAAGCTCTTCACTTTGTGGAGGAGGAAATAGATCCTGCTCTTTCTTCAAAGCCCCCACCCAGGAAGCTTTCTCGGAATGTTCTCGTCTCCTGCAGAGCTCAAAGTGATCTTTCCCTCCTCGATGATAAACCTTAGAGGCCACCGAGTCTAACTTGCTTATTTTACAGATGAAGAAACTGAGGCACAAGGTAGTTAAGTGACTGCCTAGAACCACACAGGTAGTGAGAGAATGAAGGGTCTCTGGCTCCAAATCCAGGGTTCTTCTCACTGTTCCACATTACCTCTAAAGCACTTAGTCTGGATCTCTCTGGAGCCCTTATCACATTTGGTGTTGTATGGAACTGATTTGTGAGTAATATTCTTGTGTGCCACCCCCCCCCATGTGATTGTAAACTCCTCGAGGGCAGGAACAGTGTCATTTTCTATCTTTGTATCCTCAGTACCTGCCACTGGTGCTTTATAAGGGTTTATTAAATTACATTGAATTATGATAAAATAGACTAGGCAGTGAAATACTAATAGCTAACATTCTGATAATGCTTTCAGGTTTTCATTTGAGCCTGTGACACTGGTACCATAATTGTCCCCATTTTACAGATATGGAAACTGGGGGCAGTAACCTGCCCAGGACCACACAGCTATTAAAAATCTGAGGGGAGATTTGAACCCAAGTCTTCTAGGCTCCAAGAACAGCACTATATACCCACCATGCACCATGTTTAATAAAACAACTAACAAGCATTTATTAAACATAAACTCTTTGCCAGGCACTGGATTTGGGCAGCTAGATGGCATCATCAGAGCAGCAGCTCTGCAGTCAGGAAGATTCATCTTTGTGAGTTCAAATCTGCCCTTAGACACTTACTAGCTGGGTGACCCTAGGTAAGTCACCTCACTCTGTTTGCCTCAGTTTCCTCATCTGTAAAATGAGCTGGAGAAGGAAATGGCCAACCACTCCAGTATCTCTGCCGAGAAAACCCTAAATGGGGTCACAGAGAGTCAGACAGGACTGAAAACAACTGAACAACAAAGACGTTAAATGCTAGGTGCTAGAGATACGAAGACGTAAATGAAAGGTTCTGCCCTCAGTGGGCTTATATTCTACCAGGAGAAAAACCCCAACAGAGTAAATCCAAGTCATGTAGAGAGGTAGGATTAACAGCCAGGGAGGCTCTGTAGGGAAGGTCTCATGTAGAAGGTGGCGTTTGAGATGAGCTTTGAAGGGAGCCACGGATTCCAAGGGGATGAGGTGTAGTGGGACAGCCTGGTAGTCAGTCTAGCAACATTTATGAAACTCCTACTATGTTCCAGGCACTGTGCTAAACACTGGGCATGCCAAGAAAGGAGAGAAGACAAAAGCAGCTCGAGGTCTAATGGGGAAGACACCATGCAAAGAATTAGGAACAAACAAGATTATCTCAAGGATAAATTGGAGAGAGTTCAGAGGTCAGGCACTAGCACCGTGGAGCACCAGGACTTTGAAGGTCATCTAGTCTAACACACTCATGTTACAGATGAGGAAACTGAGGACCAGGTGGGGGAAGTGACTTAGGGAATGGAGCTGAAGACTGCTTAGATATGAGGTGCTCAGGGCTCAGGAAAGGAAAGGAGGGAAGATCTAGTATTGAGTGACTGCGTCAGGGAGGACAGACTGGTACTGCGCCATGATGACAGGTCTTAGGAAGTCGGGGACAGCATAGAGATGGACATCTGGGCTGGGAGGCTGAAGGGGGGTAATGGGGTAGGGTTAACTAACCCTTGATAATGAGTTAAAAATGACTCCTCACCAAATCCTAATTCTGCCTCTGACTGATGAGGTCCGAGAGACCTTGGGCAAGTCTCTTAACCTGGCTTGCTTTCTTCATCCATAAAATAAGGAGGTGGGATTAGGTGACTTCAAATGCTCCTATGCAATCTCAATGAACTGAGGTAGAAGGAAAACAATGTGAAAAGTATAAAGGTCTGTACAAAGTATGTCAGAATTGTAAAGCAGGGATAGGAATGAAGGGAGCCAGGAGAAAGGGTTGGCCAGAAGCTCTTTTTTTTCAGTCGTGTATGACTCTTTATGACCCCATCTGGGATTTTCTTGGTAAAGATACTGGAGTGCTTTGTCATTTCCTTTTCCAGCTCATTTTAAGATGAGGAAACTGAGGCAAATAGGGTGAAGTGACTTGCCCAGGGTCACACAGTTAGTAAGTGTCTGAAGCCAGATTTGAACTCAGGAGGAGGAGCCTTCCAGACTTCAGGCCAGGCGCTTTGTGCACTATGGCGCCCTCAGCCACCCCTACCTGGTTAGTGCCTATCTCATAGTCCAATGTTCTTTTCATGGCATGACAGTTGATGGTTTCACCCAGGGCTGACTTGGCTTAGGACCCAGCTGCTAGTGGGGGCAGACACTCTTTGTAAGACAGAGTTCAAACTGGTTTTGACTTCCCTCTGCCTCTGTCCCCAGGCTCTGACCACATCCGTGAGAAAGATGGCCTGTGGGCCGTCTTGGCTTGGCTCTCCATCATTGCCAACCGCAAACAGAGTGTGGAAGACATCCTGAAGGATCACTGGAAGAAGTTTGGGCGGAACTTTTTTAGCAGGTGAGCCCCTCCCTTCAGGTGACTCAGCATCCCCACATCTTAGCTTGGCCTCTCCCCAAGACTGTGGAGAACCACACTGAGCCAGCTTCTGTGGATTAGGTATTCCCAAGGCTCTGGGGGCTACAGTGAAGTCTACCCTCCCATTATCCAGGAATAACAGCCAGTTCAGTTCAGCTAAACTGGCATTGATTGATTGTTTTTAGTGATTTTCTTTATCAGTAGAGCTCAAAAATCCTTGGAAAGAGGCAAGGTGTAGGCGCAGATTCCTAAAGATGAGATGCACTGATTATTTGTACGTGCATGGTGCCATGAAAGAATGCTCTTTTCTCTCTGCACCAAATGAGGAAAGTAGGAGTTACCCTGGAAGAGAGAAGACCTGGGAATAGTGACCTTTCAAAACCTTGAAGGCCACAGTCATGGGCAAGGCTGGGGGATGAGTCTTGTCTGCTTAGCCCTAGAGGGCAGAACAGGATTCATCAGGATTCCACAAGCATTTATTAAGCACCTACTATATGCTGGGAGATACAGAGACCAAAACAAAACAGTGCCTGCCTTCAGGGAGCTTCCTGTTTAACTGGAAAAGTCAACTCATGCACAAGTAAATAAACTGGGAATGAATATATCCATATATACAGTAATGTCAGGTTGGAGGGCCATCAGCTGCCGGGGAGAAGGAGTGCAGTATATCAGAAAGAACGCTGGCTCAGGAGAGTGAGGAGATCCTGGTTCAAATCCTACTTGTCACTTATTACCTGTGTGACTTTCGGCGAGGCACTTCCCCTTCTGGGCCTCAGTTTCCCTCATCTGTACAATGAGAAAGTGGGACTAGATGGTCTCTGAGAGTCCCATTGAAGTCAATGATCTCATGATCTGTGGGCACAGGAAAGGCCTTGAGACGAGCCTTGCGGGAGGCAAATGATTCCATGAGCAGTGGGTAGAAGTCCCAGGTATGATGATTTTAGCTCAAAATCAGTAAGAGCTGCCTAACCCTTTGGGGTATTCTTGGCAGAGACACTGGAGTGGTCTGCCATTTCCTTCTCCAGCTCAATTTACAGATGAGGAAACTGAAGCAAACAGGGTGAAGTGACTTGCCCAGGGTCACACAGCTAGTAAGTATCTGAAGCCAGATTTGAACCCAGGGAGATGAGTCTTCCTAACTCTAGGCCCAGTGCTCTCCGCACTCTGGTGCCACCTAGCTGCCTCCTAACCATTAGGACTGTTAAAAAATGGGAGTGGGCTGCTTCAGGGAGTGGTGAGTTCTCTCCCACTGGTAGATGTCTTCTGGTGGAGGCTGATGACCGCCTCTAGAGCATGTGGATGCTTTGGGGGAAGGGAGAGGCTAGATAACCTTTGCCTTCCTTTCCAAATGCAGAGATCTCTGGCCTGGCCTCCCTGTTGACCCTCTAGATGTAACCTTGTTTGCATTATTGACTTGCATAGGCAGCTGTTTTCTTTGCAGGTAAACATTAGCCAAGCCCTGATCGCTGCCACTCTATCACAAATCTGAGAGATCTCAAGTTATCCCCCACAACACCCCTCCCAAAAGCCCCAGGTTGGAGTATGCGGCCTAAGAACAAAGGGATGGGTGTAATTCCACGCCCCTTCTCATTGAAGCTGGGGAGCTGGGGGGGGGGGGGAGGTGGTCCCTGACCAGCATCCCAGCTCTGAGACGCCAGACTCTGGTTCATTTCGCCATATTACCAGGACGCTCCCCATTGGCCGCAGCAGTGAGCGTTCGAAACTTGGCTCTTAACCCATTGACTTTGACTGCATGGTACTTAGTATTACTGAATAAAGATGTTTCGGCAGACTACTTAACAGTTTCACAGTAATAAATAACCCAGGAAAAATATCACAGCCTGGGTATTTCCAAAGGAATTTTAGGTCTAGAAGGTTTCTTAGAAGTCATGTAGTCAGGTCCCTGATTCTGTGCCCAGATCATGCAGCCAGTGGGTGGAAAGTTTGGGAAGGGAACCCACATCGTGTGACTCAGCCTAAGGGTCTTTCAGCTGTCCCACCCGGACAACAGAAGCGCTTGGCTCCAGACAGGTTTTTCCCTACACAATAGAAGGCAAAATAAAACTCTGCTGGGGCTTTAGTGTGCTTGCCATATTCTTACTGACTTTGTTGACCCCACCCAGATGAGCTCTGGGACCATTCGCCCCCCAAAGCTGATCTCCAAGATGAATCTCCCACCTCAGCTCTCCAGAGCTCTGCCCCCAATGCTCATTTTGGTCAATGTGTCCCTAGGTGGGAGATTGGTCTGAATATCAGACGAGAGTCGAGTGTCTGAACGGTTATTGTCCAATGATCCTAAGCCTGAGCTCTTTCCTCTCTCTACTGGGCAATTAATAATAATAATAAAGGAGGGAGAAATGCTAACAGTCATTTCATGAGAGCATAGATTTAGAACTGAAAGGGACCTTAAAAGTCACTGAGTCCAACCCCCTTGTTATACAGAGGAAACAGGCCGAGAAAGGTAAGTGATTTGCCCAGGGTCACACAGCTAGTGAGTATCTGAGACAGGATTTGAACTCAAGTCTTCCTGATTCTAGGCCCAGTGCTACAACCATTATGTCACCTACCTGCCAACTCTGCCATTTTATTTCTTTGCATTAACTTCTCTAGATAATAGTAATAAATAGAATAACATTTTAAAGTTTGCAAAATACTTTATACGTATTTGATCATCACAACACTAAAATTATATGTATTATTATGTCCATTTTATAGATGAGGAAATAGAGGCTCAGAGAGATTCTAATTTATCCAAGGCAAGCGAGGGGGTGCCATAATGCACAGAGCTCTGGGCCTGGAGTCAGGAAGACCTGAGTTCAAATGTGACCTCAGACACTTACTAGCTGTGTGACCCTGGGCAAGTCACTTTGCATCAGGTTCCTCATCTGTAAAATGGGGACGATAACAGCACTTAGCTCCCAGGATTGCTCTGAAGATCAGATATTTGTAAAGTGCTTAGCACAATGCCTGGCACACAGTAGGCAACTAATAAATGCTTATTTCCTTCCTTCTTTCCATGGCCACACGGTGGTATTTGAACCCAATTCTTGACTCACAGTTAAGCATTGTATTTCCTCTGCCACACCGTTCTTGGTCATTGTCTTTAACCCGGAGTGGTTATGAGTTGCTGCCTTGAAATCCCAAGAGCTGCAGAATCTGCCTTCAGCCCAGGCCTGCTGTTTCCAATGATTCAGCACAATCAATTGAACAGGCCTTCATTAAGGGCCTACTGTGCGCCAGGTGCAGAGGAAAGTGAGACAAAGGGCACAGACAGGAAACCGCTCCGCTATGGATGCACAGGCCGCCTTATTTTCAGATTTCTTCTAAAGGAGTTCAGCGCTCCTGGATGACGATGATGATGACAACGGTGACGATGATGATGGTGATGAGGACAATGACGATGATGATGATGACGATGATGATGATGACAATGATGATGATGTTGATGACGATGATGACGATCGTGATGATGATGACGACGACAACGATGATGATGATAAACTTGGGATTTTATTGATATCGGAAACTCCCAGATGAGGACACTCCCTCTACCTACATTGGTGTATACCATCTATGCAGCTTATATAGTGTTAACCTCAGTTGCGGGTGATGTTTTAAAAGTGTATTAATGTATTTTGCTTTGATAGAATAGTCATCTATCAACAACACCTGAAACAAACCCACTTACAAAGTTTATCCCGTGTATCTCCCCAAAAGAAAACAGCCCAGGACATTTTGTTTATTGATTAACAGAAAGGAAGGACGTGCCTTGTGATGTGGACAGTGAGAAGCTAGCATTGATATTGATCCTTGCCATTGACCTGAGTTTTGCTGACTTTATTTCCATTGTTGACATGTTATACATGTTGTTTTGGGGCAGAACTTTCTTCACTCTGTGTCAGTTCATACGAGTTTCCCCACCTGCAAAAAGACAGGTTGGCCTCGTTGGCCCCATAGGCCCATCCAACTCTGGGTCTCTGAGCCTGTTTGGGGCTCACTAAGTACCTTTGGGAAGCTCCAGGAGCAGACGGCATGATGGGCATGGGGTGTGCCTCGTTCTGTTCCCATGCGGTTTTGATTCCTTCTGCTTGGTCTCTGTATATTGAGAACTTTTCATTCGCACAGCTTGAAGGTGATGGGTGTTTGCTATGGCAGCAGTGACTCTAAGTGTTTGTGTTTGCAATTCCTTCCAGGTACGACTATGAAGAGGTGGACTCGGAGGGAGCCGGCAAGATGATGAAAGACCTGGAGGCCCTCATGTTCGATCGCTCCTTTGTGGGCAAGCAGTTTCCAGTGGGGGACAAGGTTTACACCGTGGAGAAAGCCGACAATTTTGAGTACAGCGACCCAGTGGATGGAAGCGTTTCCAGGAACCAGGTGGGAACAAGGCATGGATGCGTGTGTGCGTGTGTCCGTGTGTGTGTGTGTGAGAGAGAGAGAGAGAGAGCGAGAGAGAGAGAGAGGAAGAGAGAGAGAGGAAGAGAGAGAGAGAGGAGAAGAGGGGGAGAGAAACAGAGTCAGACAGAGGGAAGAAAGGAAGAGGGGGAGAGAGCGAGAGAAAGAGAGACTAAGAGGGGTGGGGCAGAGGTAAGGATAAAAAAAATTCCCTTCCCATTGTCAGGGGGTGAGATGCGAAGACAATTGACTTTTTCCTCCCCATTATTTCATCAGAGGGAGATCCTGGTGAAAACCTCTTTCCTAGGGCAGCTAGATGGCACAGTGGATAGAGCATTAGCTCTGGAGTCAGGAGACCTGAATTCAAATCCAACCTCAGACACTTAACACTTACTAGCTGTGTGACCCTGGGCAAGTCGCTTAACCCCATTGCCTAGCAAAAAACAAAATAAAACAAAACAAAGAAAACCTCTTTCCTAATGAAAATTGGTACCCATTCTATAACTCAGCGTCTGAGAGAGTTTCCTGGGGCACTTAGAGGTGCAGTGCCTTGCCCAGAAGTCACAGAGCCAGAACATGTCAGAGGGGAGACTTGAATTCAGGTCTTCATGGCTCTGAAGCCAGCTTTCTAGAAGCTCTACATAGCACCCTGCCAGAGTCCCCCAGATAGTAAGCAGAAGAGTCCGGATTTGAACTCAGATCCTGTGTACATTAAACTATGCCACAAGCCAGAAAAACTTCAAAGTTAGCCCCAGGGATGACCTTTGCATCTGTTGTCCAAGGACCACCCATGTTCAGGGAGGCCTATCTCTGAGCTGACCACAAGGGAATGGAGCTTTTGGCCTTGGTATATCTTGAAGGCCATTTACTGAGTCATAGAGAAGGGTAAAGTCTGAGAAGGGAAGATAGATGCTTTGCTCCCCTTAATTAACAAGATTTCTGTGTGCAAAGAATAGAGTACGAGGGATGATCACTTGGGAGTATAGCCAAGATCCCAATGGCTCAGCTGATGGGTCTTTCCTTTGGAGAGGCTGTCCTCTCTCCTCCCACATGTCACACCAGAGTCTCCCTCTTCTTTCACTGAAGCCCGCTTGGTCCTTATCCCCATTGACAGGAAGAGGCGAGTATCACCCCGTCATGGTGCGCTTCCCCTTCAAAGGAGCTGATGTCCAGTTGGGGGAGGCAGTGGTACCTCAGGAGGGGGATGCAGTTGGGTACTAGGTCGTTGCCCTTCATTTTAGATTGCTCAGCATGGCTGACTGGGGCTTTGGCTCCATGGGTGTCACACCCAGAGGCTTTGGAGGAGGACGGACTGATTACACCTAAGTCACAGGGAGGCCATGAGGACAGGGAGCCTGGCCATCATCTGGCCCAGAGACACACGGAAGGGCCACCATCTATCAAGGCAATCTTACTGCTCCTGCCCAAGGGAGGATGAAATGAAGACCCTGACTGAGTCCCTTGCCCCGCTTCCAAGCTTCCTCCTCCTTCCCGGCACATGGAAAGTCATTGCACGCTTGTGTTTTCCAGGGCTTACGGATCATTTTTGCTGACGGTTCTCGAATCATCTTCCGACTGAGCGGGACGGGCAGTGCTGGGGCCACGATTCGACTGTACTTCGATAGCTATGAGAAGGACGAGTCCAAGATCTACCAGGACCCCCAGGTAATTTTCAGTCATTTTGTGTGAGGAGTCCATTCGGTTCATCAACAAGCATTTATTAAACATTTACTGTGTGTAATAAGCATTTATTAAACACTTACTGTGTATTAAGGACGGGGATGCAAAGAAAGGTGAAAATACTGTCCCTGCCCTCAAGGAGCACGCATTCTAATGGGGGACACTACGTGTAAATAATGACGGCCATACAAGATACACTCGGACATTTTAAATGGAGGGTAATAACTAGCACTAGGAGGCTCGGAGGCACCAGGACAAGGTTCCTGTATGCTGAAGGAGAGACCATATGGTGGCCCAGGAAGCCAGGAGTGCTCTGTCCCAGAACCTCAGTCATTCATGACATTCAGTAAGTATTTTTAAGCACCTACTATGTGTTAGGCATTGTGCTGGGGATTCAAAGACAAAGACCACCCCTGCTCTCATGGAGCTTACATTCTCTTGAAGGCAAACAGGTGTGTATCAAAAGTCAAATACCACATAGATACAAAGTAACTTGTGGGGGAAGAGGGGTGAGGTGGAGTGAGATCAAGGAAGGCTTCCTGTAAGAGGTGGCACATGAGACAGAGGTGAGGAGGGAGGGCGTTCCAGGCATAGTACGTGACTTGTGCAGAGACAGAGTCAAGAGATAGAATATGGTCAACACGGACTGGCCCCCAGGAGCATGTTGACCATGTAGTGCATGGAGGAGGGTAATGTGCCGTTAGCCTGGAAAGATGGGCTGGGACCATGTCTTCTAGATCAGTGGGGTTTTCAAGCCTTCCACGCTTTTAGAAACAGAATCCTTAAGCAAGGTCCTCACCCCACCTGGGTCACACAGCCTGTTAACATGGATTTAGGCTGAGCTCAGAGCTGGGCTGGGGACCCTCCCCAAAGCCAAAGAACCTCCTTCTTGGGCCCAGCCTTTTAAATGCCGTTGAATCTCTTAGAATCTCAGCTTTGGAAGGGATCTTGGCCATCACTTATTGCAGACCTAAGCTGAAGCCTACATCCCTTACCCTGTCTCTGCTTGAGAGTGTCTAGAGGCAAGGAACCCACTCTCTCTCCGAACTACTTGCTCTATTATCCATCAGTCAACCAGCATTTATGAAGCACCTACTGTGCACCAGGCACTGTGCCAAGCACTGGAGATAGATACAAAGAAAGGTGAAAGACAGTCATTGGTTTCAAGGAGCTCCCAGGGAGAGTTGCTGGACAGTTCCTCCTTGTGTCCAACTGAAACCCACCTGTCGTTGACTTCCCCCATTGGTCCTAGTTCTGCTTCCCCAGCCCTCCCCCCAGCCAAAATAGGCCAATCTGTGTTCTGTGCGTCAGCCTTTCAGATCTCTCCTGCAGATTAAATGAATATTGCTTGTGAGTGCTCACTTTTATATCCCCAGGGACTGGCACGTAATAGGCACTTAATGAATACTTTTTGTTTTCTTTTTAAAATTTATTTATTTATGTTTTTTGGCAAGGCAGTTGGAGTTAAGTAACTTGCCCAGAGTCACACGGCTGGTGAGTGTTATATATCTGAGGCTGGATTTGAACTCAGGTCCTCCTGACTCCAAGGCCGGTGCTCTATCCGTTGCACCACCTCGCTGCCCCCAACTTAATGAATACTTGTGATGGATTATTTGATATGCAGTAGACAGAGTATGAATCCTGGAGTTAGGAAGATTGGAGTTCAAATCTGACTTCAGATACTTACTAGCTGTGTGACCCTGGGCAAGTCACTTAACCCTATTTACCTCAACTGTAAAACTGTAATAATAATAACGAAAATGTAATAATAGCAACCACCTCCCAGGGATGTCATGAGGATAAAATGAGATGATAATTGTAAAGTGCCTGGCACAAAGTAGGTGCTATATAAATGTTAGCTATTATCATTATTATTATACTTTCCCTCAATGTAAGCTTCTTGAAGGCAGGAACTGTTTTACCTTGGTCTTTGAATCCCCAGAGCTTAATACAGTGCCTAGCACATAGTAGGGGCTTAATAGATGCCTGTTGATTTATTGGATGCTCCCATTCCCTCCAGTCTTCTATAGAAGTTTACTCCTTAGTGATCTCCCTTCTATCTAATTTTCAATCTTTCTCCATCCACTAGTTCTTTGGCTGGTGCCTACAAAAATACCCAAGTCTTCCCCATCCTTTAAAAGAAATTATTTACTTCCTACTGTCCCCTCAATGTATCTGTGTCTTTCTTTCCTTTCTCAGAGAAACTCCTTGAAAACTCCTTCTAAGAGAAAACTCCTTGCAGAGCAGACAGCTGAGAAATCTGTCTGTCCTGATCTCTTTTCTCTCTTCCATCTGACCTCAGCAGGCAGTGATCTCCCAACTGCCAAATCTAATGGTTTTTCCTCAGTCCTCATTCTTCTTCTTTTGTTATTAGTATTTTATTTTTTTTTCTCCAGTTACGTGTCAGATAAATTTGTAGCATTCATTTTTACAAGATTTTGAGTTCCAAATTTTTCTCCCTCCCTCCCCTTCCCTCTTCTGAAAAAGGTAGGCAGTTTGATATCGTTCATACATGTGCTATCGTGTAAAAATATTCCCATATTAGTCAGAGTTGTGAAAGAAGAAACAGATCGAAAGGGGACAAAAACATGAGAAAGAATAAAGTGAAAGAAATATGCTTCTATCTGCATTCAGAGTCCATCAGTTCTCTATCTGGATATGGACAGCATTTTCCTTTGTGAGCCCTTTGTACTTGTCTTGGATCTCAGTCCTCATTCTTCTTGCCCTCTCCGTTGGCTTTGACCCTGGTTCACCATCTCCTCTTGGTTTTTTTATGACCATAATGCCTCCTGGCTTTTCTCCTACCCATCCAACTACTCCTTCTCCGTCTCTTTTGCTGAATCATTAGCCTCTGTCATGAACATTAACTCTGCTTGTCTCCCAAAGCTCGGTCCTGGCCCCGCTCCTTTTTCTCCTCTGTATTCTCTCACTCAAGGACTCCACTCCCATGGATCTTTTGCCACGTCCATATAGCCATCCCTGGTTTCATTTCTGTGCTTCAGTCCCACATCCCAACTGAATGTCCCTGAGACATCTCAAACTCAACACACCCAAACTCATGTTTTCCCCAAGGTCTATCCCTTGTCTGAACTTCCCTTTCTTTGTTGAGAGCGTTTCAATCCTTCCAGTCTTTCAGGTTTGGAACCTTGGCATTACCCTCTACCTTCACCCAGTTGTCAAATTCGTCATTTCTTTCCCCACAGCCTCTCTTGCATTTGTCCCCTTCTCCTTCCTTACAGAGTCCCCACCCCAGTTCAGGTCATCATCAACTGGACCAGTCATTGCAATGGCCTCCTCATTGGCCTCCTGCCTCAAGACTCTCCCTGCTCCAATCCAACCCCGAGATAGCTGCCCAAGTGATTTTCCTTAAGCACAAGTACATGGACTGTATATTTCCTAACTAAAGATATCACTTCTCTACTCAGTAAACTCCAGGGGCTCCCTGTTACCACTAGGGTAAAACATAAGCCAATATTTGGCTTGTGTAGCCCTTTCCAGCTTTTTGACCCCATTGAACCTTATTCCCCCTCCTTCTCTCTCTCTCTCCCCAAAATGGCTTTCTTGCTGTTCCTCAGGTATGATCCACATCTCCTCCCTTGTTCCTTTTGCCTGGGCTGCCCCTCATGTGCTCTCTCCTCTTCTGCCCAGTGAAATGTAAGGACGTTGGAGGCAGGCATTGCTTCATTTCTGCCTTATATGCTCAGTGCCTAGCACATGGCACATGGAGAGGAATTGATATATACTTGCTAATTGACTAATTGATTGGTTATATCAGCAACCTACATGCCTGGATTGCACTCTCTCTTCCTTCCTTTCTTGGAATCCCTAGCTCTCTTCAAAGGCTGCCTCCTACATGAAGCCTTTCTGGATTTCCCCTGCATAGTGCTGCTATCCCTCTGAAATGCAGCACACACACACACACACACACACACACACACACACACACACACACAGAGTAGAATGTAAACTTCTTGAGGGCAGGGACTCCTTTATTTTTCTTTGTATCTCCACTTAATAAAAAGACACTTAATAAATGCTTATTGAATTGAATTAATTAATCAGGCATTTATTAAGAACCTGTTAAGCGGGATGGGGAAGGGAATAAAATATGAAAGAGATATAGCTCTGCTATTGAAGAACTTGCAGTCTAGTGGGTGATAAGCAACCCAGCTCCAAGTGGAATGTCCAGTGCTAGGGTAGCTCAGACTGGGGGGAAGTTCATGGAGCAGCGTCCGTTCCTGCGGGTAGAGCTGGTTGGTGCACATTGAGATGTGGCTCTCACAGTTCCTCATGTTGGTGTTTCCATCTCTCCCC